CCTCGGGGCCCCCCAGGCCCGCCGGGAATGCCTGGATCGGATGGCATCGACGTGAGTTTCTGAACTTGGGGCTGGATAGGGAGGGAGGGAAGCCTCGGACAAAGGGAAACTTTGTGAATGAGGGGGTTGGGCGCCTCGAGGTGTAGTGCCTTGTGTTTCCAGTAGGCGACGCCAGCAAGCACTACAAGGAGCCTGTTTGTTCAGCAAAAACCTCAAAACAGCCCTGAAATGCAGAGCCGGTTACAGTCACCCAGGGAAGAGAGACTGCTGTTCAGTCTTCCAGCCACTGCTCACAGACAGTCCTTATCTCCCCTTCCTCCTTTCCTCTCCCTCTGGGGTAGGAGACGCCTTGACTTCAGGGTAGCTGGGGGGCCTCGGCCAGACCGCTGAAGCTCCTGTCTCCCTGAAATGCAGAGCCGGTTACAGTCACCCAGGGACAAGAGACTGCTGTTCAGTCTTCCAGCCGCTGCTCACAGACAGTCCTTATCTCCCCTTCCTCCTTTCCTCTCCTTCTGGGGTAGGAGACGCCTTGACTTCAGGATAGCTGGGGGGCCTCGGCCAGACCGCTGACCAGCTCCTGTCTCTTCCCTTCGCTTTTTTCCTCCCGATTTAGAATGAGCCGGGCTTGTTCCCTGCTCCCTCTGCCATGGTGAGGGTTAAATACCTCATTCTGGAGGCTCCCCCAGGAGGTGAGCACCATGTTTACTGTCTGGACAGACTTCTATTCAGCCTGGTGCCTCCCCTCCAACCCAGGATGCTGGACCCCAGCCAGGCCTGGCCGCTGCAGGCTCTGGACGACTGGGGGCCTCTTTGGGGCTGAATCTGACTCCACTAGCTCTGCCTGTCTTCCCCAAGGGTCCTTTGTCGTTCAGAAATGAGTTCCTTCCCTCTTCAGGAACGTTTTGAATCTTGTCGCTTTATTGGCCCCTGGGTCCTTCCCCCTGCTCCAGCCTCTGCCTTTCCTCCCCGCAGTCCAGAGCAGAGCCACCACCCACCCTTTTTCTAAAAGCCCCTGCCTTCTCCCCATGCTGATCCAAGAGGCCTCTTCCAGCTCACTCAGAGCCCACAGCATGGTTTTGTGGGCCTCATAATGGTCACTTTACCAACGTTAGCATGTTCAAAACGCACTTGCATGGAGATTTCCCCCTCCCCAGCAAGCTTAGTTTTAAGACCTTTATAGTAGGTTTTTTGTATGTAAGAAAGGGGGCTGTTTTCTTCAAAATTGCAAGGCCAAGGGACCCCAAGACCAGCCCCCAGGCCCTTGGATGCCTTCTCGGGGAAGCATGAACCACACATACAGTGCTCTTACACTTGTATCTTGCAGGGTGACAAGGGGCCCCCTGGGAAAGCCGGCCCTCCGGTGAGTTCTTTTTCCCTGTGATTTTTTACCTTTCTGGTTTTTGCTGTCGTCTGGCTAATATTTGCTCCACTTCTGTTTTCAAGGGGCTCAAGGGAGAGCCTGGCAGACCAGGGCCAGATGGGCCGGATGGGAAGCCAGGGATTGATGTGAGTGCCTGCACCGAACAGGGGAGGGCCCCAGCTACTGACTGAAGCCTGGTCTGGCTTCCTTCCATACCTGTTCAGGGTGGAGACTGCCCAGCTGTGAGCCCCCGTAGTTTCACATGACTTGCAACCTTACTGGAACCTCACACCCTCCTCTGGGGCACTGAATCACGGGAACCGGGGTCCAGAGGCTTCCGCTCTCTGTGAGGTGCAAGGTCATCCTGTTTGTCAGCAGCCCTCAGAGTTGAGTGTCACATCTCTGACTTGTAGGGATCAGACTGACTTACCTGGAGAGGGCTGTCCTTGTGTGTTCCCTTTTCTTTTCGCCAACTCAGTAGAAGAGCATTATTTAGCTGATACCACAGAACTCCCAGAAGCCCCCAAGGCCTCCAGCCCCAGGGGCATGGTGACAGTCATCTGCGGGGGGATACACTTGGGTCAGTCACTAGAAGATGGGAGAAAGAAGAGGTCCTTATGCATTGCATCTGTCCCCCTGGCTCAGTAGATGTGACCAGGGCTGGGACCAGAACTTCCCAAACTCATCCCCCCGCTGCAAAGATTACAAAGCCTTCTACTAGCACAGGGCTTTCGCATCCACCCAGAGAGGTAGGCATGACCAGCTCATTTTGCAGATGAGAAAACTAAGGACCCCCCCCAAAAAAATTGGCCAATGGCAAACATCAAGCCTGTGGCCAATCCAGACCCATGTCTAGGTCTTCTAGACTCCTGCACTGGGAGCTGTGAGACTTGGGTTGATAAGGCTTTCAAAAGAGGAGAATTTGGGCCAGGGATGTAGCTCAACGGTGCTGCCACCTGCCTTGCAAGCACAAGCTTGAGTTTGATCCCTGGTACCAAAAAAAAAAAAGAGAGAGAGAGAGAGAGAGAGAGAGAGAGAGTGAGAATTTTCTGGCCTCCCAGGGCCATACTGGGAACTAGGGAAAGGGAAAAGGAGGCATTAAGGTCCCTAGGCTTTCATGGGGTGCAGTGAAAAGAAGCCTCTGGACCTGCCCCACCCTGTGGGAGCAGGTTGCCCCCCTGGATCCTACCTTCTTTTTCTTCCCAGGGTTTAACTGGAGCCAAGGGAGAGCCTGGTCCCATGGGAACACCTGGAGTCAAGGCAAGTGGCCTGCTGAGGACTTTGTGGGTAATCTAGGACCCGACTTTGGGAGGGACTGCAGTAGAGACCAGGATCCCCCGTCTCTGAGTCTCTCCCATTGTCCCTACAGGGCCAGCCTGGGCTCCCAGGTCCCCCTGGCCTGCCGGTGAGTACCACCTGTGCAGGCTCTGAGACATCTCCCACAGGTAGGGAGGACAGGTAGAGGGAGCTGTGAACCTAATTTCCTTTTCTTCTGTTGTAGGGTCCTGGTTTCGCTGGACCTCCTGTAAGTCCTCAGTGATAGGGCAGTGTCCCAGACCTGTAAGGAAAGGAGGGGACAAGGGAAGCACTTGGGAGGGGGGACAGCCTCCTGGGGAGGGGCCAGTGTGCTGTGACAGTGCCACGGATGGGCAGGCTTTCTGAGGCCTTGGCCCAGCCCACTCTGGCCCTATCCACTGACCCTGGAATTCTATGGCCTCGAGAGCCCAAAGAGTCAGAATGGAGAAGGAGGTTTGGGTGCCTGTCCTTACCTTCCTGTCCTGGCTGGACTGACTCCCTGAGGCATCCTGGACATCCAAGTCTCTGCTTCCCAGGGGCAACCTGGACCTGTTGGTCTCCCTGGTGAGATCGGAATCCCAGGGCCCAAGGTGAGCCCCAGCCTTGTCTACTCACCCTGCCTCCTGCCCTCTGCCTCCAGGCTGGCGAGCTGGAGTGGGCTCTTCAGGAGTTTCTGAGCCTGCTGCTGGCCAGAGGGGACCTCCCCAGGTCTGACACGGAAATCTGTCCTGCTGAGCCCACCCTCCTTTTCGGGGAGTCTGAGGGCTGGCACCATCTCCTGCCAGTCCCCTCCCCATTTCCCCACACTGGTGACTCACAGGAAGTGTCTTGGGGGGTCCAGTGGGTAGGGCGGTGGTAGGATGGAGGAGGGGCAGAGATATTAGGGGCTGGGCTGGATGGTGCAATGACTGGGCTCTTGCTTCCAGGGAGATTCAGGACCACAAGGGCCAGCAGGGCCCCCAGGACCTCCTGGGAAACCGGTGAGTGTCCTCAGATGTCCCACGTGGCCATGTGCTCCTAGGGAAGGGGTTTGGGGTGGGGAAGGGCCAGATTGGATTCCATCTTCGTATGTCTCTTCCAGGGGCGCCCAGGAACCATCCAGGGCCTGGAAGGGAGTGCAGATTTCCTGGTGAGAAGCGGGGTTTGGGACAGGAGTGCTGGGAGGCGACATGGAGAGAGGGCCAGTGGGTTGGGGAGGGACATCCAGGAGAGGCGGGAAGAGTGTTCCAGAGGTGACAAGGTGGGAACATGCTGCCTAGCTGGCCTGGCTGGGGAGTGACCCCAGGGCCATGAGATTGTCTTTCCAGTGTCCAACCAACTGTCCAGCGGGTGCCAAAGGCCCCCTGGGGCTGCAGGGAGTGAAGGTGAGAGCTCCTGGTCTGTGTCTTGGGAGGGCAGGGCAGGCGATCAGGAGGGGAGCCTCACAGTGAGCTCTCCCCTTCCCTGCAGGGGCATCCAGGCAAACGTGGGGTTCTGGGGGACCCTGGCCGCCAGGGAAAGCCGGTGAGTGTGGAGACTGAGGCCCATGGACTGGGGGCTGTGCGGGAGGAGCCTGACTCATAGTTCACCCTTTCTCCCATTCCTCTGGGACAGAGCTTTGAGCTGGGAGGCAGGAAGCCTGTGTCCCAGGCCAGTGAGTCTGTGGACAAGTCCCTTCTCCTCACTCAGCCTCCATTTCCCCATTTGTAGCGTGGGACCGCATGGTGTCTAAGGGCCTTTCCTGGCCGGTCTTGCTGGGGAAGTTGGCTGGTATTCTTCCCTGAGTGTTTATCTCACCATCTCCTGCCTGTCTGATAGCTCATCCCTGCTCTTAGGGTCCCAAAGGAGATGTGGGTACCTCTGGAGAGCAAGGCATCCCCGGACCACCGGTAAGGAACACCTTCCCCTGAGCCTGGCCTGTCTCGTGCTGGAAGTCCTTCCTGGGGTCATTCCACTGCTCAGGCTTATAAAAGAGGCCCATGTCCATCTGGGAATGTCTGCAGGTGGGAGAGGAGGGATTATACTTGATCATAGCCAAAAGGCCGAGGAGCAATTGGGAGAGGAGGGATTAAGGAGCAGAAACCAAAGCTACCAGCCAAAGCCTGGCTGGGGTCCAGGTCGTGCCACTTTGTGTGACCCTCGCAAGTACCCCCATTTCTGAGCCTCAATATCCCATCTGTGAGCTAGAGACTGGGCTGCGTACTTCAAAGGGGCATTGTGAAAAGGGTTGGGGTCGGGGAGGTATCAGGAAGTGGGCCTTGCAATTGCTGTGATTTTTCTGTCTTGACAGGGTCCCCAGGGCATCAGGGGCTACCCAGGAATGGCAGGACCCAAGGGAGAGATGGTAAGTGAATCTAATGGTGACCACTGTTCCCTGGTCTGTGGGACCAGCCAGCCCTGACCCACACATCTTTCCTCTGCCCAGGGTCCTCAAGGGTATAAAGGCATGCTGGGCTCCATTGGCGCTGCTGGGTCACCGGTAAGCTTGCTCCCGTCCCCTGGCTCCAGGCTGGAGCTCCTGAGCCCATGTAACATGGATTCCTGTCTGTCCTTGCTAGGGTGAGGAAGGTCCGAGGGGACCACCAGGCCGACCTGGGGAGAGGGGTGACGTGGTGAGTGCTTGGGCAGCTGTTGCCTGATCAGGGCCCAGGGGCAGCACCGGGCAGGACTCAGCCCCACCCAAGGCTGGCAAGAGTGTACATACGTGTGTGTGTGTGTGTGTGTGTGTGTGCATGCGCATCTGTGCCTGTGGGTGACTGCTGGGGGAGGTCAGATCGTCTGGCAGAGTCCAGGTGACCCACATTCAGACTTTGGGATCCAGGCCTGTGGTCACTGGGGCCAGACAATGACATTCCAGCAAATCAACCGGGGACTGATGGGATTTGGTCTGGCTCCGGGTTCTCCTAATTCTTTCTTTCTATTCAGTTAACAGATAATCCTGGGCAATTTTAGGTTTACAGGAAAACTGAGCAGAAAGTATAATTTTTTAAAAAAATTCTATAATGCAAGTTTTAAAATATACATAAAAGTAGAGAGGCTGATGTAATGGATCCCATCTGGCAGTCTCGCAGGTTCCACAGTTATTGACATCTTGCCATAGTCCCTCCGTCTGTCTCCCTCCCCCTTTCCTCCACCATTACTGTCTTGCTCTGATGTTTCCAAGAAAATCCTCAATATCATGTCATCTTACCCCTAAACATTTCTGACGGTATCTGTTAAAAAAAAAAGACTTGGGCCAGGGATTTAGCTCAGTGGTTCGGTGGCCTGCCTTGCAAGCGCAAGGACCCGAGCTCAATCCCTGGTACCAAAACACGAAAAACAAACAAAAATAAAATTTTCCCTTCACATAATCACATCACTCTCACAAGTAACAAGATAGTTTTTCCTTACCATCAACTAATAACCAGTCTGCCTTCAGTTTGTTGCAATTATCTCAAAACTGCACAGGTCTTCAGATCAAGACAACCTGCCTTTCCGTACAAATAAGCCCACACACTGGCTCGAATGGTCCTGTTCCCTGCCCAAGTGAGCTGTGGTCTCGGGGAACGCCAGCTCCGGGAACCCCTCCCCAGTCCTGCCCTCCCCCCTTAACTCCAGCCCCAGCACAGTGCAGCCTGTGTCACAGAGTCTGAGACTCCGAAGCCACTAGCTCAGATAAGGCCGCTCTCTGCACAGCCAGGCGGTCTCAGCATCCTGACAGGGACCTGACCTCTGCCTACTTTGCAGGGCAGCCAAGGTGTTCGAGGACCCCAGGGGATAACAGGTCCAAAGGGAGCGACCGTAAGTGCCAGAGGCCCAGGCCTGGGCCATGGGGTCGGGTCTGAGGGTCCACAGTGCCAGCATATGCGGAGCTTGAGATCTCAGCAGTGCCTTCTTCTCCACACTTTAGTTTCTCCACCAGTAAACAGGAGAGGTGCTATGAAAGAGATCATGGGCTGCCTGTAGTCACCTGGACGCTTAACCACCTGAGGAAGGGCTGGGCCTTTCTCCCTCAGCCCCTTGTCACTCAGCTCCCCTCCAGCAATGAGCTAGTGGGGTTTCCTGAGATGACCAGATCTCCTCGGTACCTGCACGTTGCCCTGTTGTGGGTGGGCGTCTCAACTCCAGCCATCTCCCCACTGTGAAGCTCCCTGTCCTTTCTTCCTGAGCAGGGCTCCCCAGGCATCGATGGCAAGGATGGGACCCCAGGCACACCTGGCGTGAAAGTAAGAGGGGACTGCTTGGTGGGACTGGGGAGCCAGGGCCCTCTCTGCTCAGGGCTTTGGGTCTCGTCACGCGATCCCCAGGATCTCCCATGTATCTCTGCCTCCAGACATGTTCCCCACCTGCACTGGGGTGAAGGCCATGGGCCCCATGGCTGGGCTTCTCATTTGTGCTTCTGGTTCTTGGTTTCTCCAGGGCAGCGCAGGACAGGCAGGGCATCCAGGTAACCCAGGCCACCAAGGCCTAGCGGTGAGTATCAGGTGGAGCCGCACAGGCTGCTCCGTGGTCGAACTGCTTCTCTTTGGGCTCAGAGAGGCCAGGCGCTGTTAGCCGCCTCCCCATGAGGCTGTGAGCGGCTGATGAGGTCACGATCCACACCTGGGCTCTCGCTCTGTCGCCATCTCATGCTTCAATTACCACCTCTGTGCCCCATGTCCGGGCTTAGCCTTCCCCATTTAGAGAACTGCTCCGGCTTTCTCTTGCCATTCCAGGCCTTCTTGGCGGCTAAATGCAATCTCACCATTTCCCTGACTTTCATGGCTCCTCATCACCTCCAGGAAAGTCATTCAGTAAATAGTTATGGGAACTCGAGGCAAACAGTTACACACGGAAAAGACAGATGCAATCCTTACTTCATAGCTCATCCAGCATCCAGTGACCACCATAATCTGACCCCAGCCTACCTTTCTTACTTCATTGGCCGCTATCACTCTGTCCTCACCGCTCCTCTACATGTGTGCACACCCTCAGGCTCCTTCTGGACCCTCTGTTTAGAGTGGCCTTCCTGGTTCTCTCCGTGCCTTCTCCGGTGCAGGCCCATCTCCACCCTCTACCTTCTGTAGCCCAGTCCTGGGAGTGTCCCCGCCTGCTGGGGCATGGACTGGCCAAAGTCCGCTGAGCTGTGCCTGTGTGCAGACTTGAATCCTGTACTCATGGTGTGCCCGTGACTTCCCTTTTGCCCACAGACACAGGCCCTCCAGGCAGTGTTCCCCTGTACCTCGTACCCCACTCCTCTCCCACCAGGGCCACCCACAGGGGTTAAGAGAACAGTCTGAACCCACACCTGGGTCTCCCATGAGGTGGAGGAAACCAGGACTGGGATGGGAGGCAAAGCAACAGGTGCCAGGGCAGAAACTGATGTCAACTTCTTTCTGCAGGGTGTGCCAGGCCAGCCTGGAGTAAAAGGAGGCCCAGGGGACAAGGTGAGATGACTGCAAGTTGGAGGCAGAATTGGTTCCATCGGAGTAGGGGAGCCACAAGGCAGAGACCGAAGCATGACCCAGGCCTCACCCCAGACCTGAGACCTGAGCATTAGCCACCTCCCTCCTGGCACCCCACCCGCACCCCCGACGCCTTCCCACATCCCTCAGCCTGGCTTAGTGGAAACAGGATGGATGTAAATCCAAAGGTGATAGAAACACAGGCGAATTAGTGGAGCCCACAGGACTTGACCAAGAACACCCTTTCCCTTCAGCCACTCATTTGGCTACAGACTGTTCAGGGCCCATGGTGCTTGGCTGACTGACCTGTGCTATTTTCCTGCAGGGTGAGCCAGGCCAGCAGGGCCTCCCTGGATTCTCTGGTCCTCCTGGGAAGGAGGTAAGTGTCCCCCTCCACTGACACAAGGTGGCTTTGGTCCTCCCAGGCCTGAGGGCCCTGCTCTGACCACACAGCCAGGTGGAACCAACCTAGGGATGCTCTGGGTTGTGTCTTCCCAGACCCACTGACTCGGGAAAGAAGCGCTGTCTCTATTCTAGGCTGTGTCCCTAAAGGAAGCCAATCAGCGAGACCCAAGAGTGGGGAGGAGTGAGCCAGGTGTGGCAGGGAGGGTCCCACCAGGCCTACCCCTTACCCGGATGTCTCATCTCTCCAGGGAGAGCCAGGGCCTCGAGGGGAAATTGGTCCCCGGGGCATCATAGGGCAGAAGGTAAGTGCCTGTAGCAGTGGTCCCTCCCTCCGGGCCCTTGTAACAGCTGGCACTGTTGGCTTCAGGGGCTGGGTCCTCTGGCAAGGCCTCAATTTCCTGGTCTGTGAAGTGGACCAAAGGATCCCCTGCTGGTGACCACAAAACTGGAGGGCACCAGGGTGTCCTGGGGAGGCTGCCCCAGCTGAAAGCCTGGGTGTGACCTTCTCTTTCCATTTCAGGGTGATCGTGGTGAGAGGGGGCCTGTGGGGCAGCCAGGCCCTCAAGGACGACAGGTGAGTGCAGCCCAGCTTGGGTGGGCAGTGGGGAGCTCACCCCGGCGACTGATTTATTCCTCTGGCTTCTCTTCTCAGGGCCCCAAGGGGGAACAGGGTCCCCCTGGAATTCCAGGGCCCCAAGGCTTGCCAGGCATCAAGGGAGACAAGGTGCCAAACGGGGCTGAAAACACCAGGGAAAGCAGCTCAGGACTGGGGCGGGGCGGGGTCCCTGGAGCTCAGTTAGATTCTGAGTTCTCCAAGTGTGCATCCCGCCGGGAATGTATAGTGCTTGCTGAGCAGGCGCGAGGTCCCAAGTTTCATCCCAGGCGGGTCCCAGGGATCTGGTCTGTTGGTCTGGGTGGGGCTGGTGAGAGGGGACCCCTGGAGCACCCCTCCCTGGAGAGGGGAACTCGTCAAGCCCCTCTTCTGCTGTCTCCAGGGCTTCCCAGGGAAGACCGGCCCCCGCGGCGGAGTGGTGAGTCTCAGTGGTCCCAGCGCCGGGCGCGCCCGCTCCTCTCCACACCGCTGCTGGCGCCCTCCTGACCCTGGTTCTCTCTCGGCAGGGCGACCCGGGGGTGGCCGGCCTCCCCGGAGAGAAAGGCGAGAAGGTGAGTGCGGCGCGGTGGAGGGGAGAGGGGCCCGGCGGTTCCGCTCGGTCACTGGGTCACTGCCAGTCACTGCCGCTGCCTGTGCCTACAGGGCGAGTCTGGAGAGCGGGGGCCCAGGGGCCAGGTGAGTCCACCCTTCCCCAAGCCGGCTGCTCAGTCTCCCTCTACTTCCGGGGGCCCCTGCCAGCCCCCACCCTACCCGCCCTGGCCTTCTCACCTCTGCCTTCCACACCCCCGCCGCCCACAGCAAGGCGTCGGAGGAGAACCTGGCTACCCTGGCCCCAGTGGAGATGCGGGGTCCCCAGGGGTGCAGGGCTACCCTGGGCTGCCCGGCCCTCGAGGACTGTCTGGAGACCGAGGCGTGCCAGGCCAGCCCGGGAGACAGGGCCTAGCGGTGAGTTACCCCAGGGCAGGGCGGTGCTGGCCATCGCCGGTAGGAGACTCCTGGTGGTTTTCGCCTCCAAACTGAGTTTCCGGAGGGCTGCTGCCTTGAACTGGTTCCACGCCCAGATAAAAGAGGGTGATGTACCACAGGGCAGCTCCTGGGAGAGTGGGAACAGGAGGGTCAAAGGCTGCAGATCAGTCTTGGGGCCACTGGTTCTCCCTAAAGACCTCTGCTTTCAGGGCCGAGATCCCAGTGACCAGCACATCGTGGACGTGGTTCTGAAGATGATGCAAGGTGAGGGGAGCGCAGCCACCCTCTAGAGCCTCTCCAGTGTTGCCTGAGGCTCTGGAGTCCCCGACTGTCTTTCCAGCTCAGCTTCCAAGGGGCTACGGATCCCTTGGATAAATAAATCACCCTGGATCTTTAACTTCGGTGAAACAGGGCTTGGGGAAGGGAGAAAGCAAACCCGAGGCTTTTCTGTCTGCAAACCAAGGGGCCAGGAACTGTCAGGGTGCTCTGCTTCAGGAGTGTGTGTTGACAACTGTCTCACAGATGTCTGTCCCTCTCCTCCCTCTAGAGCAACTGGCAGAGGTGGCTGTGAGTGCCAAGCGGGAAGCCCTTGGTGCAGCAGGGATGATGGGTCCTCCAGGACCCCCTGGGCCACCTGGGTACCCAGGCAAGCAGGGACCGCACGGGCACCCTGGCCCTCGGGGCATTCCTGGCATTGTAGGAGCTGTGGGTCAGATTGGCAACACAGGACCCAAGGGTGAGTGCTGCTCTTTGGAGGGAGTGGGGCTGGGCAGTGGGGCCTTGGGTGGCTGAGTGCTCAGCTTCCATCACCCCACTGGGTCTCACTCTGGTTCCCAGGATGAGACTGAGCGTTTCCCATTCCTCAGCAAACTCTCCGGGCGGCTTTCCTGGGCTCTTCCCCTTAGCAGATTAATGGGAACGAATGTACTATTTTATAGTTTCATGGTATTTCATGGTGTCTCATAAACATCTTTCTATGTCTCTGGGCCTTAGATTTGTCTACTGTAAAGTGAAGACAGTAACAGCACCAACCTCATAGTTTTTTGTGGGGATTACACTCAGAGGTGATTTATATAGAATTCTTAGTTCACTGCTTGATACATGGTAAAGGCTAAGTATGTTATTGGACACTTCCCTGTCCTAAAATTTATCAGATATGTAACTGTCCACCCTTTGTCTTTACCTCCCTCTATTTAACCGGCCTTCCTAGGTCATTTACCACTTTCCCCTGTTTTATTTATTTATTTTTGGTACTGGGGATTGAACTCAGGACCTTGCGTTTGCTAGGTAGCCGGTGTCACCACTGAGTTAAATCCCTGGCCCGGCTCTCCCTTATTTTAAACTAGCACAGTGCTGGAGTGATAGTTATATAAAACAAATGAAATAACAAACAAAATGGGAAAATCATTTTTCAATCTGGAAAAACCGAGACTCACTTTTTTGTCTACAGGAAAGCGTGGAGAGAAGGGAGACCGAGGCGAAGTAGGACGTGGGCACCCTGGTATGCCTGGTCCCCCAGGGATCCCGGGTAAGATCTTTGTGCAGCTACCGTTCTGTCCTTGTGCTTGGGGATTCATGACCCACGGACACCTGGCTGTCTTCATGGAGGCCTCACAGTCAGCCCAGTCTAGCTGAGAACGGAACCTGGGACTCGGAGGGTTCTGGGATGCTCATAGTCACTTTACAGAGGGGAAGGAAGAGTATTCATTGACTGGGAGTTGTGAGCAATGGAAACCACAATCTGTTTTGGGGGCAGAGCTCCTTCTTCCTATGCTGTCTTTGGTCTTGTTTTCCCCACCTGAAAAATATTCCAGCTTAAGAATTTTAGGGCACGATAGGAGGAGGCCCCGATGTCTTGACTTTGTCTCTTTTACAGGACTCCCTGGTCGGCCTGGCCAGGCAATCAATGGCAAGGATGGAGACCGAGGGTCTCCAGGAGCTCCAGGAGAGGCAGGCCGACCTGGCCTACCAGGCCCTGTGGGGCTGCCAGGCTTCTGTGAACCTGCAGCCTGCCTTGGAGCATCAGCCTATACCTCTGCCCGCCTCACAGAGCCTGGATCCATTAAAGGACCGTGAGCAGCAGGCCAGAACAGGGCCTGCAGGATCCTGGGTCCTCTCCAGGTGGACATGCTCCTACCCCAGGGAGCTAGCTTCCCAGGACCTTTGGTGGAGGTCTTGAGGACAAGGAGTCAAAAACACAGGGGAAGGGAAGGGAAGGCATTAAGAGTGAAAAGGTGAGACCAACAGATAGAGCAAGTGTTGCTGGAAAGTCAACGTTCTGAGGGAGCAGGGTCACTTTCCTTCCTGGAGGACCACCAGATGTTGCCAGATGTTTCCTTAGTCTGCACCATTTTCCACTGGCCATCTCATCACTGGGGCAGGAGGACTGAGGTCTCTGCTGGTTCCTGATCTCATTCTCTGGACTTACTGGGTGGCTGCTGATGGGTGACCACCCTGGAATGGCATCTTTAAGCCAGTCCCACCCTTCCTTCCAGCCTCCCATCTGCATATTTAAACACCCATCTGCTTTCTCTTTCTGGAATTACTCTCTCCCACCCGCTTCTCCCATATCCATTCTGGTCTCTGTTGTTGTAAATAAAAGCCCCCAACTTGGGTACAAATCAGGATATGAGTTGCTGGGCTAAGTTTTTTGGTGGATGTGGTGGGAAGTTGCTGAGCCTCCATTGTCTGGACAATGGACAGAGTGGTCAGGGGCTCTAGAAGGGAAGGAGGGTGTGGGACTCCTTCATCTGGGGACGCCCTGAGCATTGGGACAGCATGGCCTATTGAGGACCATCTGGGAGGAGAGCCTGGGGCACAGGCAGAATGGTGATCTGCTTGTCTAACTTTGGGCAAACCATTCTGAGCCTTTGTACTGCTACGGCACAGACTCAGTTGTGCCATAGCCAGGTACAGCACACCCACTGCCTCACCAGGGCCTGGCTGCTGGAGGTAAGTTTCAGTATCCAGTGTGCCAACCCTGGAGAAGCTTGGCTGTAGCTTTCCAGGGGCTCCTTGGCCTGGAGGAAAACAGACATGGGCCTGGATGATAAAAGTCTAGGGGAGTCTGGCACGGATCTGATATGTACCCTCCTGGCCTATTGCTCTTTAGTCCAGCCAGGAGTTTTTGAAATTCAGGGAGCGATCAATTCCCTTGCTCCAAGACTGATTTGTTTTATTTATTTATTTATTTATTTTTAGATAAACATTTATTGGTACATTTTAGATATAATGATACCGTTCATCATAGGGAATTTACCTGTACATAATAAATCATTTAGACACATGTTTTTCCCAAATGAAGCCCTCCGCCCACCTCAGCCTTATTAGAGGCAGGCACATGACTCTAGCCTGAAGCCCAAGCATCTGCTAAAGCCCAGGCCCCACCACCTCTCACCACAGACTGGCCTATCTTCGCTTCTCCCTGCCCCTCAACATACACATTTTCCAGTAAGGACATCTCAGCTCTTACCCCAACCCAGTCATAACCAGGGACAGGCAGAGTAGTACCGACGGCCACTAAGGTGGCTTTCCCATCAGTGCTTTGGCAAATCCTGAGTTTCAGTACCCCAGCCCCTCAGAAGGTCCCCAGCCATGCAGCTACCAAGGAGCCTGGGGATGTGGATAATCTAAGGCCCACTAGAGGAAGGGAAAAGGATAGCTGCCCTAGCCCAGAGCACTCCTGTGGCACCAGAGGGTTCTCCTTTCCCTAGGCAGAGCCACATATTTGGTCCTATCTGAAACCTTGGATTTAGGGTCTACTTGAAGTTGCCCCCCACACTGTCCCAGGGACCCTCCCTCCCCTGGCCCTTTCTGAGTCTAGGCCCACTGAAGGGTTTCGGTTACACAGAGAAGATGAGTCACAAATCTCACGGAGAAATTCTTACAATTCAGGTAGTTGAAGGAGCTGAAAGGGGACTAATTCATAAGGACCAGTGTCTGCTACCTTAGGACTTCCTGGTAAATAAATGTCACTCTGATCACTTAGTGCGATTGACAAGTCTCCCATGTCCATCTTCTGAACACTGCTCAGACCCTGGCCCGTTCCACTCCTGCAATGCCAGCCCTGTGCTGTTCCTCAAACGTGATTCAGTCACACGCATACTATGCTGCTGTTTGGAATGTGTCCCTACGGAGTTACCAGTGCCAGCCTCTTCACTGCAGGTTTTCATCAAAAGCCACGTCCTCTCTACCCTCACATTCCAGATCCTCTCCCATGCTTGACTGTTTCTCCTCAGCACTTCTCACTGTCCATACAAGACACTAGAATATGAGCTCCACCAAGGCAGGAACTTTGATCTCTTATTTCCTGTTCTTTCTCCACACAGACCAGTGTCTGGCATGCAGCAGGTGCTCAATAAATGTAACCTCATCAGAATGCTCAAGGGAAAAAGATCTCAACAATCATAACCCCAGGAAGGAAGGGACTTGTACTGGGTTTGTGTGTGGCTGAGGTGTGTTTCAGATGGCCCGAGTGTTTGGGTTATTCTTTCCACAGATCATAATAGGGACTGGCCCCTCCACAACCAAATCTTGAGAGGCCAAAAACATCTAGTGTGACATTAATGAAGTAGGAAATCAATTCCCATTTGCACTTAGGAAAAGGTGGATTTAGGGAGCTTAACAGAAAGCACACTGCAGCACAGCAGCCTTTTCCGGAGGTTCGACACCGCTCCTCCAGGACACAGCCTGCACCCCTAACCACCTCAGCCTAGCACCATGACCTCTTGCCAAAAGCACTGAGAAGACCTACCAACCAGTCCCTTTGTTCCTAACATAGAAGCCAGAATGAGCCTGCTAAATTCAGTCAGATCATGTCAGCCCTTGGCTCCAAACCTTCCATGGCTTCTCATCATACCCAAGGCTTGAATTTTTACTATGGCCCACAAAACCCTACAAAGTCTGCTCTCCCATCTCTACCTCCCACTCCTCCCCTCTGCACTCAGCATCCCAGCCTCTCTGGTCTTCCGGTGATTCTCCAGCACCAGGCTGGCTCCCGCGTCAAGGCCTTTACACTTGCCCTTTCACAACACCTGCTCAGGAAAATCCTGCTAACAGTTTCATTCCTAAAGTTTACCTTTTAAATAAGGCACAGTAAGAAGCTAATAATTACTACTAATGAAGTAGAGTAATTATTATACTATAACAAAAGTTAGATAAATGTAATCTTTCTTGAAAGCCTCAAAACAAATACTAGTATTTTCCCATCGTGGTCAGAAAGCCCGAAGTGCCTTATTTGCTGTACTGGACTCAAATCCAGGGGCCTTGTGCATGCTGTACGGCAAATACCGTACCAGTGGGCTATATCCCCAACCCAACTGTGGTTTTAAATCACGTTTTCAGCTGGGCTGGAGAATACAGGTCAGTGGTAATGCTTGCATAGATGCATGAGGCTCTGGGTTCAGCGCCCAGCACGACACCCCCCACCCAAGTTTTTGTTACTAATTTAGATACCAGTTTTAGATTATAAGTTCTTGGTAAATTTTTTGTATGGCCTCTAAGGACAGAACTTCAAGAGGCCTTCAACTGCCATTTAATAAGTTTTCTGCTAATGATAATAGAATACTCAAAATAGTCAAAAGCTGCATAAAGTATACATACACAAAAGTATGCAAAATATTGATGGAAAAGACCAAGCAGAAGCAAGCCTCCTCAGGGAGGGGAAATCTACACAAAGGATAAGCAGTAACAGTAAGCATATAAAGTATAAGGAGAAATCTGGGACATCATTGGTATGAAAATAAATTTATTCCAGGATTTACTAAGCAGCTCTTAGATTTCAGCAGTGGGTCAGCTCAGATAAAGGCAGTATATAGACACAGCCCAGACTCTGCCTTGGAATCAGAGATCAAACTTGCCAGGGTCATGCCTCGTCACCCAAGGATTGGACCTACTCCACCCTGGTCCTACCTGTCTGCAAGTCTTAGGGTGCAGAGTGACACTCTGTCCTTCCTTGGTCGGCTTATCTCCTCTTTCCCCGATTGGCCAGTATCTCAGGAACCCATCAGTCTTCTTTTACCCTCCTTGTGCCTCCACCATCTGGACACTGGGTGACTAGGGCAGTCACATATTAAAAAGCTAATTACAAAAAAAAAAAAAAAAAAAGCTAATTACTGCTGCCATATTTGTAAGTCAGAAAGGCCAGAGGCAACTGGAGCAGACCAGGCAGGCCGGAAATAATTTGAAATTACAAAAATGGAGAAGGAATGACTCCAGATGAATCTTCTCAGGAAACATCAGCAAGAACCGCTGTGGAGAGGAGGAAGTCATGAAGAGGACGCTGTGAGGCCTGGGGACAGTGCTGATGCCATTCAGCATTAGAGCGATTTCCTCGTGTGACTGACCCTTCATATACAAGAGTACCCCATTCTTCTAGGGTTAGAAAACACACATATGGGCAATACATGACACACAAATTACATCAAATTAAAGACAAGGTACACAAGTCTACATTGGCAATTTTTAATATTTTACTTGTGCAGAACTGAACTTTGCATTTAAAGGCACAGAGGGAAGAGAAGGCAGTTCTCAGAGCCTGATGTCACAAGAAAAAGACACTGGATAAAAACTGCAGGGGCTGCCCCACTTTAGCTGTAGGAAAATAAACAATGCAGTACAAAACTAGATTTTAATTTTTATTATACGTCCATGTGAAGACATCGGTCAAATGTCAGCTAAGCAAAAGATTTTATGGCCAGATACCAAAGGTACGTAGTTAATCCCACTTTGGAGTAAATGTCCAGAAAGTAAACATTATCAGTGACAGGGAGTGTTAGGCACAAAATAAGTTCTCATTCAGGAAGTGGACAGAGATTCGAAGCAGTCAAACATACAGCTTTTAAAAGTAGGAATCTTTCATGACAATTTTTGGAAAGCAAACATCTGCATATCAAGAATTATTAATTTTTAAAAATGGCACCAGCCCCTATAGTACTTACAACTACTGATAAAAATTCCAAAAATAAAAACCAACTCTTCTGTCCTTGAAAGATAGAAAACTATATTTTTTCCTGTAATATTCTAAGAGAATCATGAGTATTTATGCCTTGTTTTTTTAAATGTAATTTCTTTTTTTTCCATATTCTGCCACTTTTAACATTGCAAAACCTGTTCAATATGGCAATTTCTGCTAAATGAAAGAATACACTATTTATTGAATAAAAGTGAATGAATGAGAAAAAGCTAATACACCTCTAATGGGATCATACCTATGAGGTGGAAGGAAAAGCAAAAACTGAGATTTTATTTTTTTAAAAATCATTGATTAAAAACATCCTATGTGTGATTTCTAATTTTAAAACACTCTCAGAAATTCCTGATCAGAGGGCAGGGGTAAGGGGAAAAAAATGAGAACCAAGACCTGTCATGTAAAAGTACAAGATCCCAATGATGAATGTAACTATGTAACTGTACTGTATACCTAAAATGTACCAATAAACTCAATGAAAAGGAAAAAAAAAAAAGAAATTCCTGATCGATGGGCAACAACATAGATTTGAAATTTGGTAGAACAGAGCATATTTCTGACAACTCTCATTTAAACATTATCTTTCTTATTAAAAATACTGATTGGCCAAGTTACATCAAAACAGCATGAAGGTAAAAACAAATTTCAACTTAGCCAT